GCGAACGCTCACGTGCCGAAGGTGCCGATCCCGTCGGAGGATTACGTCGAGGAGTTCGTGGAGGCGCCGACGTCCGAGGGCGTCGACGAGTGTGTCCACGTCCACGTGCAGAAGGGGTCGTTCATGGAGGTCGCCGCCGAGGAGTTCGTGGAGGTGCCCGTGGCCGCGGGCATCGAGAGGAGCGCCTACGTGCCGCAGAACCACTCCGAGGGGGAGCTTGTCGGCGAGGTGAGCGTGGCGGTGCCAGCGGCGGACTACGTCGAGAAGGTCGTGGAGGTGGCTTCGTCCGAGGACGTCGAGGTCAGCGCCCACGTGCCGAATGTGCCGTTCAAGATCGTGGAGGGGCGGCCAGGGGGGCCGCCCGAGGCCGCCGCCGGGGCTGCCGGCCGCGCCGAGGGGCGGCCAGGGGTGCCGACGGGCATCGAGGGGAGCGTCCACGCGCCGAGGAGCGACGCCGTCGCCGAGGAGGAGCTCGTCGGCGAGGTGAGCGTGGTGCCGCCGAGGCCCGTGGGGCAGAGGCCCCGCTGGGCCGATGCAGGGGACGAGGACTGTGACGTGCTGGTCGAGCTGCCGACGGCCTCCCTGGAGCAGGCGCGGGCGGGCGGCTCGCGGCCGCGGCGCAGGCGCAGGCGCAAGGGGACCAACTGGCAGATAGTGCAGTTCGCCGTTGATGTGCTCGAGCGGTTTGGCTCCCTCCGAGAGTCGCTGGCGGCCACGCTCGGGCCCAGGGCGGTGAATGTGGCTTTCGAGGGGCTGTTCGACGAGGCGTCAACAGCCGCGGAGTGGGGCTGCGACGTGTCGATCGGCTCCGAGACGGGGAACACCTTGGTTCAGATGTTCCTCGGTGGCGAGTTCGCGGAGTGCGCCGACTCGTGGCTCCAGGTCGTCGCGGCCGGGGAGAATGAGTTCTCCGAGGTGAGCCGCGCGCGGGGGCGAGGGGCGAAAGCGGGCGGGGAGGGGCCTCGGAGCGAGGCCCCGCTCTCCCCGTCCGTGCTGGATCCCCCTCGGAATCTTGCGAGGGCGGCCCCGTGAGGCCTGCCTGGGGCTCCTCCTGGGGTCGTGCCGCCTGGCCCGCGGGCCTGTGCGGGGTGGGCGCGCCCTCCTTGGATCCCCCCTCGGGGTTCCAAGGCGGTCGCGCGGGCGTCGGGCTCCGTCCTCGTCGCCACGGCCCGCGCGTCGGGGCGCGAGGCCGCGAGGGGTGCGCAGTGGATCGACTCTGCCCCCCATGTCGCGCCGATCCTCCTCCTCCTCCGTCCTCCTCCTCCTCCTCCTCCGTCCTCCTCCTCCTCCTCCTCCGTCCTCCTCCTCCTCCTCCTCCTCCTCCTCCTCCTCCTCCTCCTCCTCCTCCTCCTCTTCGGGTGCTGTGGGCGCGCGGGCGTAACGGCGAAATCCGCAGACTACCCTCGCCGATGCACGATTCAGGAGGATCGATGAGTGGTTGGGGGTAGGATTCGGCTGTCGCCGCCTACGGGCGTCGCGGTTGAAAGAAACAGCTCTGCAAAACGAGCGGCCGAACTGGAAAGGACCAAGTTCCCCACCTTCACCCCCGAGGCCCATGAGATTGGCAGGCGTTGCGTTCGGGATGTGGGGCTCACGCGTTGTCTTGCCCGACTGCTCCGGGCACGCTTGTTCCATATCGGCGCCGAGGGGCGGCGGAGCGGAGGGGGTCACGCAAAGTGGCCCCCCCCCCAACGCTTACTGCACGACTGCTGCCCTCAACGGCAGGGCCCCGCGGGCGAGGACTCCGACACGCTCGCTGTGCTGTCACGAGGACAGCCGCACGGGGCACGAAGGGGGGCGTGGCCGGCCGCGGCGGGCCTCGGCCACGATTGGGTTCCCTCGGCCCCGATCGAGGGAGCGGCGGCCCGAACACGAGAGTCAGGGCCCCGTAGACCCAGACACGCCAGACGGCACGAACAGAAAACTGCACTGCAGCACTTCCAGAACAAACCCGGACACAGGCCCCAAAAGCCTGCAAGACCCCCCTAAACCTGGACACAAACCCGAACCCTGCGGTGCAACACATCAAACATGCACGGGTGCTGAAAAACGTGACTTTGCAGGAAAGGATGTCGTTTCTTTGGTTTTCCGTGTCATGGTTTATCTGTGTCCTGGTCTCTGGGGGCCTGGGAGAGCCTCGCCCGAACCCACGAATCTTCCGGATCACCGTGTACCAGGACTCCGTGGCGCACCCACAAGACGCTGCCGCACTTCTTTCCAGCCATTCTCCAAGCCCTGGCTTGCAAGGCACTGGTCCCGGGGGGCCCGGAAGGTCGGAAAGAGGGGTCGGGAGGCCGCCCCTGTTCAGGAGCTGCCAAGGGTAGTCCTTTTTCCCAGGATTCTCCCAGCTTTCGCGCGATGTGTGGGGCGCATGGGGCCCTCTGGGCCTCGTGATGGTGTGCTCTGGAAGCCACCAGAGCGACGACAAGAACGGGGCTCTCACTGGAAGAAGAACAACAACATAAACATAAACGTTTGGAGGTCCGCGAGGATGTCTCGGATCCGCGCTGGGCCCCCTTCCCTGGCGCGCGGAGCGCGCCAGGGGCGGCGCAGGAGGCACCGCCAGGTGGCCCCAGCGTAGAACAAAGAAACCCGCGCGGACCGCCAAAGATTTATGCTTATACCGTTTTGTCTCCTTCGGCTCACGCGCGATGGCATGGCGACCCTGGTGGCACACGCGGGCCGCCAGCGCGGTACGCAGGCCTTGGAAGCGAGGGCGCTCAAGGGCGCGACCTCGCGCGGGGAGCCTGCGCCGGAAGGTCGGCGCAGTCGACCCCGCTGCTGCTGCATCGCTCCCCTGCGCCTCCCTGGGAGAGCTCGGGTCCCTTTGGGCCAGGGCAACTTCTGGCAAACTCCGACTCTGCTCATGCGCGGCGGGCGCGCAGCCAGGTCGGGAGAAGGGCGCTTGCCCGAGAGCCTGTTTTCTAAGTCGCCCAGCTTCCCCTCCTCCTCCTCCTCCTCCTCCTCCTCCTCGCCCTCTCCCCCTCGTCCTCCTCCTCCTCCTCCCCCCTCCTCCTCCTCCTCCTCCTCCTCCTCCTCCTCCTCCTCCTCCTCGTTTACCTCTGTTCATCTTCCTCCTTCTCCTCCTCCTCCTCCTCCTCCTCCTCCTCTTCCTTCTCCTCCCCTTCCCCGTCCCTCTCCTCCCCCCTCGTGGGGGGGCAAGGGAGGAGCGGGAAGAGGGGGGCTAAGCTACCGAACTTTGCGAGTCACGCCCCGGGATGCGCGCGGGCGCGACTGCCTGCGCGCCCCAGCGACGCGCCCCCTATTGGAACGGGGCAGCCGCTCTGGCACAGACCGCCGCCCGTGCCGCGCGGGTATCTTCGAGCCCCCGCTGGGTGACCCACAGGCTGCGCTTCAATGATGAGCCCATTTTCCACCACCGCTACAATATGTAGGAGAAGGAGGAGGAGGAGGACGAGGAGGAGGAGGAGGAGGAGGAGGAGGAGGAGGAGGAGGAGCGGAGGAGGAGGAGGAGGAGGAGGAGGAGGAGGAGGAGGAGGAGGAGGAGGAGGAGGAGGAGGAGGAGGAGGAGGGGGGGAGGATGAGGAGGAGGAAGAGGAAGAGAAGGACCTCCTCGTCCTCCATTCTCCCCCGTCCTGCATGTGATAGTGGTGGTGGTGGAAAAAGTTGCTCATGCAAGGCACGTCACTTCTTCTCACGCCTGGGCTGAGAAGGCTGCGCGGGGCCCGAGGCCCGAGGGAGGCTTCCAGGGAGGCCCCCGCAGGCTCCCGAGAGGCTGCTGAGGCCTCAGGCGGGGAGGCCCGGACCGACGAGTGCAGGATACAGGCAACGAACACGCCACACTTGGGCGCCCGAGTTATCCGAGGTAACTCGGGTCTGGGGTAACTCGGGTTTGGATTCCCGAAGAAGGAACCCGAGTTAGCCCTGACCCGATTTACCCCTGATGAATTGGGGCTCTGGGCGCCCGAATTATCTGGGGTAACTCGGGTTCGGAATCCCGAAAAGCGAACCCGAGTTAGCCCTGACCCGAGTTACCCCTGATGATTCGGGGCTCTGACACACCGTGCTACAATCTTATTGCCCCGCATCCCAGATGGCCCCAGGATGGCTCTAACGAGCAGTTTCGGGAAAGTCCGACGGACACATCATGCTGGAGACGACTCAAGAGCGTCCTAGGGCCTCGCGGCGGCCCTATAACCTGCTCGCTATGCCGAGCCTCATCGTGAGAGCTCGTAGAGAAAGCCGGCATACCTCTCGATGCCGCGAGGGCAGCACGGTGGGGAGAGTTGTAACAGACCGCTGTATATCTTTACACATGTGATGTGCAGCGCACGTGGAAGTGCCCTGAGCCCCACAATTGCGGACAAGTGTGAGGCAAGTCGTCCCAACGGCGCACAAAGGGGTCCAATAGGATCGCGCCTGCCGCACCTGGTGCCCGCCCGAAGGGAATCACCCGGCACCCTTCACTCGGAGAAAAAAGTAAGAATGTATGTGAACCTTACTCTACGGCCTCCAAATGTAGCCACCACAGGTGACCCCCTCCCATGTTCTTCCGTAAAATCTGATGCTGGGAGGGTTTTCCATATTCGTAAAGAGTTGCTCGCATCAAGCCAACGGGCGATTTGGGTACCCGCGAACTTGATGGCGCATGGCAGATCCACTCGGCCAATGGATCATTTGGTTGCCCGCAAGGTGCCTGGCGCAACGTATGGCGCAACCGATGGTGGACCAACTGGGCCAATTGATTGCCCACGGGGTGTCTGGCGCAACCTATGGCGCACCCACTGGGCCAACGAATGATCCGGTTGCCCGCAGGGGTGCTTGGCACAACCTGCGGCGCAACCTATGGCAGACCCACTTCGTCAACGGGCGGCTTGACTGCCCGCAACGAGTGTCTGGCGCAACCTGTAGTAGTCCGCAGAACCGCTGGCACAACTACTGGGCCAGCGGAGGACTTGGGCGCGCGCGCGGTGTCGGGCGCAACGGCAGACCCGCTGGGCCAACGGAGGATGCGGCTGCCCGCGGGTGTGTCTGGCGCAACCTGTGGCGCTTCCACTGGGCCAATTTGGCTGTTTGCGGGGTGCCTGGCGCAACCTACGGCGCGGCATATGGCCCAACCCACTGGGTCAACAGACGGTGTGGTTGCCCACGGCGCTTGTGGCGCAGCACATTGCAGACCCACTGGAACACCGGACGATTTATCGGCCCGCGCGGGGTCTGGCGCGACCTATGGCGCAACACACTCGGCCCACGGACGAATGGAATTCCCGCGCGATGTCTGGGGCAACCAATAGGGCAATCGATGGCAGACACACTGGGCAAACGGATGATTTGGTTGCCCGCACGGTGTCGGGGCAACCTATGGCAAACCCGCTGGACAAACCGACAATTTGGCTGTCCACGAGATGTTTGGCGCAAACTACTCTGCAACTGATCGCAGACCCACGGGGCCAACGGACGAGTCGATTGCCCTCGGGGTGTCTGGCGCAAACACTGGCGCAACCTGTGGCCAACCTGCTGAGACAACGAGCAATTTGGGATCTCGCTGGGTATCTGGCGAAACCTGTGGCGCAACATGTAGCAGACCTGGTGGGTAAGCTGACGATATGGTTGCCCGCAAGTGTGCCTGGCACAACCAGTGGTGCGACATAAATAGCAGAAATACTGGGCAAACGGACGATTTGGTTGACCACGGAGTGCCTGGCGCAACATATGGCACAACCGTTGGCAGACTCCATGGGGCAACGGACGGTTTTGGTTGCCGCAGGAGCGTCTGTCTGACGCAATCCATGGCGCACCCTGCGGCAGACCCAACTTGGGGGGTGGGCGGGCATTGCACGGCGCAGCCTGTCTCGAGTGCTGCTTGGGGTCTCTCGGTTGGGCGGAGCATGGCCCGCAAGATCCGCCCCCCAAGCGCATGGCCCCCCATCATGGGGCCCGCGCGTGCGCCCCGCGCGCGCGTCCTCCAAGCAAGGGGGCCGATGTGCGATCCTCGATGGTCGAGGGCCCGCACCCCCTCCCCCACCCCAGGTGCGATGGGCCCCCGGGTTTTATGCCCCCCCATACTGGAGAGCAGAACGCCCACCCCCAGACTAAGCACCCCGACAAGCAAAGCCGTTTCGTAAACGCACCCAGAGAAGGACTCAAAATTCAGTCTGGGTCGGGGTCGGGGTGGTCTTCCCTTCCTGGACATAGGGCATGGACCCAAGGTTCCACCGCCTCCCTCAAGATGATCCCAGATGGGATGGAAGGGGCGGCGACGATGACGTCGAAGACGACGGGGACGACGACGGGGACGACGACGACATCAGAGACAACGACGACGAGGTCAACCACGACGACACCGAAGACGACGACGACGACGACGACGACGACGGCGGCGACGACGACGACGGCGGCGACGACGAGGACGACGACGAAAACCACCTCCAGACAGCTGCACGACGTTTTTTGGCCGTCGCGGCATCGCGTGCAGCGACGAAGCGGAGCCAGTCGAGCAGTTGGCACGGGAGGATCACCAGCCGGAGTGCTGCTCCGGAAGCTGAGCGGAGCAGTCGAGCAGATACCTGCTGGGAGCGGAGAGTGCGCTCGGGCTGATCACCCGACGAGCCGGGCTGCTGAGAGAGCTGCCCGCGGCGGGGTGGTCGACGGCGGAGGACGCGGAGGGACCTGCGGAGGACGCGGCGGAGGACGAGCCCAGCAGCAGAGCAGTACGATTGGTGTCGGCGAATCTGTTTCGGCTGCCGCCGTGTGCGGTTTCAGTGTCGCCCTCCTTGGGCGTTGGGGGAACTCACCGGCGCCCGTGCTACTTCCACGCGGGGAGCCATGGCTGTCCCCAATCGGACGTTCTGCTAGAAGTGCCCCTGGCCCACGGTGCCCCCAGGATTGCCAGGGAGGCCCCCACGGGCTCCGGAGCGCCCCTCATGAGGCCCATAGGGCCCCTGGGGCCCCAAAAAAACGAAGCGAAAAGCTGGGGGCAGCTCGGGCCAGGGGCGCCCTCAGCAACCCCCGACCAATGTGGGAAGTCGGGGGTGGGGCAGACGCAGCAGCGCCCGTAGCTGCAGGGAGGGGAGGAGGCGCACGGCCGCCACTGGGCTGGCACTTGGAGCGAGGCGAAGGGCGGAGAGTTCGGTGGCCATGGGAGCCTCATCTTGTCGGCTCTTGCGAATCGACGCTGATGGACCCTAAACCGACGCTACTCGACGCTAAATCGCTGCTAATCGACGCTAATGGACGCTAACATCGGCGCTATCTCATCGACTCCCAGACGCTAATCTGCGCTAGTGAACGCTACAGATGGCATCAAGAGGGTATACTGGGCTCCCATGATTCGCCACCGAACGAGAGCTCCCGGGAGGGGCCCCCGAGCCCTGACGCGTGCTCCGGGCGGGGACCCCGAGCAGGAGACCCGAGACGCTGAACCTGGCCGCGGGCCTCCACAAGCTCCCCATGCGCTCCATGGCCCAGGACGCCGAGGGCGAGTCGAAGGCCGGCATGTTTGATGGCAGGCGGTCTGGGTGGCAATGCTCACGAATCGAGCTGGCTGCAACGCCGAGGGTACAGTCGGCCCGTATCACAAGGATGCGCGGCAAGGATGCAAGGGCCTTGCACGCCCGTTTCGGAGTATTTTCGAGCGGGGCGCGGCCAACGAAAGTGGTCAAGGATGGACTGGAGAAGGAGGAGGAGGAGGAGGAGGCGGAGGAGGAGGGGGAAAAGCAGGAGAAGGAGGAGGAGGAGGAGGAGGAGGAGGAGGAGGAGGAGGGGAGGCAAGCAGGCAAGGGTACCCCTGGGATGGTTGCCCATCCTTACTTGCGGGTTGACTGCGCCCCGGCCTGAACGGCTTGAGCCAAAGGCTACTGACACCATACCACACCCACAAGGAAAAGCGGGGGGACTCTGCAACGCCACATCTCACTCACGCGGGTGGGGGGGGGAGAGGGCAGAGGGCGTGAGTTAGGGGTGTGTGGATCGATCGATCGAACAGTAGGGCCGATTTCTGGGGTGATCCCTCCTCTACGCTAGAGCAGTGCGGCTGTGAAAAATCTAGCTCGGCCTAGCTGTGGTCTACTCGTCTACTGTGGAAGCAGACGCCACGAGACGTTCGGGCCCAGCCTGCACCGTCCTTCCCCACGCAGGGGTGGGTGGACGGGTGAGGGGTGAGGTGGGGGGGTGCGAACCCATCGGGGGGGTCCCTTCAACACGCATGGTGCCCAAGTGTGGCGCGGACTTCTGGCTTCAGGAGCGAGTCCCTCCCATCCAGGCGTGCACTTCAAATCGCGGTGGGAAGATCCACCTATCTCGGGACTGGGCTCAGTTCAGATCGCGCAGATGTCACGGCAGAAGACGCACAGGGCTTCGTTGGAACCTCATTCAAATAGCTGCGGCCTAATGCGGACAGTGGCAGACATCTCTGCGATTTTCTGTATGCGGGATCTGGCATTGTCGCGTTACGATGATGTTCTTGGCGAAACGTACGGGCGCGGCCCTTGTGCGCGTTCCATTATGATTCCCTCTCCCTCCAAGCATCGACGTGAAACAATTGATCCTTGTCCATGGATTGTCGGACGAAAACACGCAAACGGAGTGGGCTTCTGCGCGGTTGCGTTCGCCCCACCGACCCAAGGGACACCGAAGAAGACTGAGGCCCCATCCACTCTGATGCGCGTACATGCTCCAAGCACGCACATCACGCTTTTGACACGCGTGCGCAAGAACTCTGCAACACACGACGGGTGAGGAGTAGGGTATTCCGCAAACCCACCCCATTGGCGAACAGGACGTCACGATACTTCGAGCACGCATGTTCGCCGAACACCACGGCCGCGCATAACTCTCAAAGAGTAAGCAAGCGGGACCCGCCTGTACTCGTCCCCGCAAGCCTCGCGACACCTTAAATGCTTGGCCCGTCCGGCCGCCTTCGGGGCGCCCAACCGTGTGTCGATCACAACAAGGAGCCTGATTTGTTTTGACCACGGGCTGATCATACGATCAACCCGAACGGACATCACTGAACTGATCACGCGATCAACATGTGATCGCTACGAGGACGGAGGACAATCGAGAACTCAACCGTGAACCTTTAAGCCGCATGCCAACACGTGATATCTAGACCGTCCTTCTCGTTGCGGCACTCCTGGCGAAGAGGATTTCCCCGTCGCCCTCTGTCACTTCTGCTTCTGCTTAACCTCCCGCCTCATCCGGCTGGTGTCCTCCTTGCCTTCCGCCATTAATTATCCTTGCCCTCCTCTCTTTCCCGCGATGCCATGAGTCCTGGCCCTCGGACAGCCAAGCAGCGCTCATCGACTTTACGAAGGCCTCTGCGCCTTCATAATGAAGCGTGTCCCGCCTGCTCACCTCTCATATCTCAGGCGCTTGCAGCACATACGCGGACACAGACACAGACACAGACACACAGACACAGACACAGAAACACACAGACCCACACAGACAGACAGACATAATGACAAACAGACAGACAGACAGACAGACAGACAGACAGACAGACAGACAGACAGACAAGCAGACACACAGGCAGACAGACAGACAGACAGACAAGCAGACAGACAGTCAGTCAGACAGACAGACAGACAGACACACAGACACACAGAAAGACACACAGGCACACAGACACACACGCCGACGGTGTGACACCGCCCGCACCCGAGAGGTCAAATCCATGTCATTCGCGCGGGCTGGTGCGGGTAGTGCCCGCTGGCGGGCAGTGCCCGCCGGATTCTCAGGTTGGGGTCCCCGCGCCAAGTCTCCTCCCCCTCCCCCTCCCCGTCCCCCTCCCCCTCCTCCTCCTCCTCCCCCTCCTCCTCCTCCTCCTCTTCCCCCTCCTCCTCCTCCTCCTCCTGAGCGTACGAAGGAAAAAACGTCTCGGGAAGCTAGTTCAAATGATGTTGGCTGGCTGGAAAGCCATGTCGAGTAGGAACTGCTGTAAGCCAAACGCCAGCAACGGGAAACATGACAGCTACGGGATGCAAGCATCATCCAGATCCCCCCGCTGCTGAGGGATGGAAAATTCTTTGAAGGCTTTCCATCCCCCAGCAGCGACTTGTCCGCTTGCCTCGTGCGCAGCACCATCCGCGCCAGCTCCTCGCAGCAGTGCGCTCGACAAGACAGCCACTTCACGCCGCGCAGGAGCGCGGCGTGATGCACAATCGGCACAACCCATTGCTGAGGGTCGCCGCAGTCCGACAAGGGTACAAATATTTCGCACGGATTGCGCTCAAAGTACTTGCACTTCGGACCTGTCAATTCTCTGACTGGCTTCCACGAAGTATTCGGCCGGCCCTAGCGTCTAGCGGTATGCGCGGCACGGGGTGATCTTGCAGCAGTCGCGCCGCGACTGGGCTCAAGACAGCCCAACCTGCCCCAAGAGATGCCCAAACCAACCCATGGATCCAGAAGATGTCCCAAGAAGGCGCCAAAACAGTCCGAAAGGCCCACAGGCCCGCCCAAATCTACACCCAAGACGACCCAGAAGAAGAGGGAAGGGGCTTGACCAATCCTGTCCCCCGAGAAGCGGCGTGTATCAAAATGTGATTCGTCGAATCTCCCGCCTGGAGGTCTGTTCTGGACTACCCTGGCACCCCAAGAGAGCTTTCGGCGAGGCTCAACTGACAGAAGGGACGGTCGACGAAACCTTGCGAACTCCACAACTCAGGGCGACAGACTGGGATCACGCTTCATATGTGCAACTGCCAGAACATGGACCCTTCGCGCGCCTTCTTGACCAATGGGCTGCACGCTCCCCCGCTGCCCAAGCTAGCCCGGGTGGTCAAAGCAGACCTATGACTACAGCGGTCTTCCCTGCTGCCCTTCCCCTCGTCACGTCGCCATTCTCGCACCCCCTTTTCCCCCTCTCACATCCCCCCATATTTCCAGTACCCCGCGAAAAAACATCCTATAGGACATCCAAGCGCGCCCAGAAGATATCAGCACCCTCGATCACAGCAGAGAGCCATGAAGGACTCGCTTGGGGCATCATCCTATGCGCACGTGGGGCGCACACGTCGTTCATGTTTAATCGTGCTCAGTTCTAACTGTGCTCGTTTCCAATTGTTCCTGGTCTTTTAGTGGCCAGGAAGAGGCCCAGGATAAAACAATTAGAAATAAAAGGATCATGCCCCCCCCCCCAAAAAGAAAACAATGAACTTTTTGTTCGAAGACTTAGACATGAACCGTGTATACTCGAACGCCGACGACTTGAAGCCAATGTTCCACGAAAAAGGGTGGAGGAGGCGGCGAAGGATGGGCGCGGCCAGCTGCAAGGCGAGGGCGAGCCATCAGCGAGGGTAGCGAAGAGCCGTAAGGGGGCCCTCGGGTCAGCCAAATCTGACTACCGACCATACCATCCCCACCCAACCCGAAAACCCGAAATTCGGGATGGGTGGGGTATAGGCTCCATATTTGTTTATGTTCGATGTTCCCCGACCCCCCCCCCCCCTCTGGAAATGGAGGGCAAGTTGGGGGCTTCCTGCTGGGTTGGGGTGGTTTGGTGGGTGGTGAATATGTACGGTGAGCCCAAGCAGCAGAAACGAAAACGCGCGGATGACAAACGATAGCAATACATAGCAACATATCAATAAACAAACCATACATCAAACGATCTAGCAACTACGACGAAGCATGCTATCGCAATACAACTTGCGGGTGACAAGCGATGGTATCATGATATCGCAAAACACAGAAACTCTAATTCAAATGGTTATATCGCAACTGTGAAACTTTGATAGGTTCTTGGAGATGCTTACGCAAGTGGACCTCGCGGTGGGCCTAAACAGCAGAAACGGAAACGCGCGGATGACAAACAATAGTAAGACATAGCATAATATCGCAATAACAAAAATCTCAAATTCAAAATGCAGGTGGACCTCGCTAGCGACGCAAGCGGCTTGTCGGGCGCCACCCCCGCTGCCCTATGCCAGGCGGCCCCCAACGTGGCTCGCAACCTGGGGGGGGCCCAACATCGGGGACCGAAATCAACCATCCGCCGCGCCTTCTCGACAAACCTGACGGGACGTGCCTCAGCTCTCTCAGCCGATGGCCCTAGAAAAGAATAGGAAAAGGATGAGGAGAAGGAGTAGGTGGAGAAGGCCCACAGCGCGAATTAGCTCCTGTCTCCCCACCCTCCCCGCCGCCCCCACGACCCCCACAGGGCGCGCGACCACGGCCCCTACCCCCCCGCCGTATACTATACGCAGGCACAGCCCTGGGGTGGACCATCGCAGGCACCACGGGAGTTCAGGATGGGCATGCGTCGAGACTGCTGGGGTTCCGAAGCCTGCTGCAGGATATTCGGCACAGGGCTCCCCCGACGAATTAAATCCAAGAGCCTGGCAGAACTGGCGAGCCAGGAAGGCGTGGGACTGCTGTGCGCGGCGGAAGGCGAGAGTGCCTAAACTCATGTCTCCCCGCGACTGTGGGCGAGTCGCTTCCCATGCACATGCGACTGGATCTGATATCGCATGCGCAATCGCATCGGCTCCCAGAGCCGCTGTCAGTCTAAATCGCAGGTGTACCCAGATCAACGCCCAAGGCCGTCGCCGACCTCGCAGGAGCAAGATGAGCATGCCTCAGATGCACCTCCATCCCAGCCCCCGGAGCCGTCGCCGATCTCAAAATTGCCATTTGCTCTGGCTGCCCAGCCAGCGCTCTGCCGGACCCCGAGGCGCAGGCCCTGGAGCGAGCTCCGCCAGCTCGATCTTTGCGAGGCACTCCTGGAGGAGAATGGTCCACAGTGCCCGCGCGCTCTCTAGGTCCTGCAAGTTGAATGCAACGCTGAGAACCCCCTTGCGCACCGTCTGTGCGTCGTGGCCTTCATTTGCAGCTCGAGCCCGCTTGCGCCCGCGCTGCAGCGCGATCTAGCCGAGCTCCCGCGGCGACTGCTTCTTCGCTGCCTGCTGCCAGAACTCTGCGAAGGCCATGTGACCCACGGGGCGCGACTTCTTGCCGTCTGCGGCGAGGTGGTCGGGACCGCGCTGGGCGACGCGCGTGGACAATGCCACCTGGAACGGACTTCTGGCCTAGTCCGTCAATCTTCTCGCAGCCGCTCTCGCGCCCCTCCCATCGCCTTGCTGACGTCGCCGCGCCCCATGCATGCGCCCGCGCGCGCCGCCCCGAGGCCCCGCGCCCTCGTCCACGACGTCGCGTCGATGGGCCGCGCTCTCCAGAGTCGCCCTCCTCCGTTCCAGACTAGCCACCAGTCTCGCCATCCCTTGCGCCATGGCCCCGGGCGCCGCCTTCTGGCCCTTCTGCTGAGCCCCCGGCGCAGGGGCGCCCCCGCGCCCGGCAAGTGGGGCGAGCCCAGCGGGACGAGGCGGAGCCGACGACGCAGGCCGATCGCGCCAGGTAGCCCGCACAATCACGAAGGACAGGCGGCTCGATTGGCAGAGGCACGTGGGAGAATATTCCATGCACGCAGAAGGGTCGACAACAGATGGGCCGGGAGCAAGCACAATGCAATCGCTTGGGTCTTACAGGGTTGCGATGCAATCGCGCGCGGCTCAAACTGCCGCAATGCCATCGCTGGTCGTTTACATGGTCGCAGTGCAATCGTTCGTCGCATAAAGATCGCAGCGCAAGGGTTTGTACAACGCGCGTGCCCGGTTAGTTTGGCGCGCGGTGCCATCTCACTGCCGAGCGCGGTCTTCTGGGGTACCCCATCGCGCGGAAGACTCGACAGGGGGCGCGCGCGGAGTGCAATTATCTGCTCAGTGACCCAGCCAATAAACCATTGCATTGCTATCGTTTGCGGCGAGGTTGGGGCGCGCGAGGAATTGCATTGCAATCGCAAGCTTCACCGACGCGCTCGACTGCGGCGCCGGCACCCACGCAGAAAACATCAAGTCGCCGCGTTCCCTCGGACTCGCACTCTGGGGATTTGTTCCCTACCTAGGCTCTGCCTAGAGGGTTCTTACTCTCTTTCTTAAAGGGGCCGGGCAGTGGAAATCGCCCCGGGCGGTTCCCCCAGTATCCGCCCCGCGGTTCCCCCAGCTGCGTCCCCTTAGCTTAGCGTTGCTTATCTCATCTTAACTTAGCTTATTTAATCTTAGCTTAGCTTAGCTTCATCTTAGCTCAGCTTAACTTAACCTAGCCTAGGTTAGCTTAACTTAGCCTAGCTTAGCT